TTTGCTTGAAGAATAAATATAGAATTTACTAAATTTCTACCTAGAAATAATTGCTTTAATATTTGCCTTTGTATATATTTAGGTGGTCTTATACTAGTCCTCAGTTTTCATATTGTTCATATTTCATAAATTTTTTTAAAGATTTTTTTGATGTGGACCATTTTTTTAAAGTCTTTATTGAATTTGTTACAATATTGCTTCTGTTTTATGCTTTTTGGTTTTTTGGCACGAGGCATGTGGGATCTTAGCTCCCCATCCAGGGATCGAACCCACACCCCCTGCATTGGAAGGCAAAGTTTTAACCACTGGACCACCACGGAAGTCCCGTTTCATAACATTTTTAAACAATAAACCTTGAAAGCTCTAAGTGGTCTTTCCCATGACCAGGTCAATCTGTTTTTTGTTTTAAATTTATTTATTTTATTTATTTTTATTTTTGGCTGAGTTGGGTGTTCATTGCTGTGCGCAGGCTTTCTCTAGTTGTGGCGAGCGGAGGCTACTCTTTGTTGCGGTGCTCAGGCTTATTGTGGTGTCTTCTCTTGTTGCGGAGCATGGGCTCTAGGCGTGTGGGCTTCAGTAGTTGTGGCTCACGTGGGGTCTAGAGTGCAGGCTCAGTAGTTGTGGCGCACGGGCTTAGTTGCTCCATGGCATGTGGGATCTTCCGACCAGGGCTGCTCTAGGCGTGTGGGCTTCAGTAGTTGTGGCTCACGTGGGGTCTAGAGTGCAGGCTCAGTAGTTGTGGCGCACGGGCTTAGTTGCTCCATGGCATGTGGGATCTTCCCGGACCAGGGCTCAAACATGTGTCCCCTGCATTGGCAAGTGGATTCTTAACCACTGTGCTACCAGGGAAGCACAGGTCAATCTGTTTTTATTCAGCTAGTAATGAGTATTACTTTTACCTCTGCCCCAGGCCCCTGGGATTACTTTTATAAAGATTCTTACCTGTTCATTTCCTGTTTTCCAGACAAATCAGTTTTTCTTGCATATTTATCAGGCTTATTAGTTTCTCTGTGATTAAAGATAGTTGTACAAGTATACCTTGGCATTGCTGATGCTATACACTACTTTGTTAGTTCTCCTTTTATTTTTCCTTTCAGTGTTTTCACATCCTCTTTGGTGTTACAGTTTTAAATACATTTCCTTTTATATATAGGAGAAACAGAAGGAGCAAAGATAGAGTAATTGGTATTAATAGGTCATTAATTGGGGACCATCTGGACTGGTGGAAGATTAATTTAGAGATTAGGTGGAGGCCAGTTGATGGAGGATGTTGAATAGTAAGACTCTAGATTTTATCCTGTAGGTAACAGTGAGCATTTGAGAGAATTTTGAGGTGGGTATTGATATAACAGGGCTGTGTTTCAGGAAGATGACTCTGTCAACAGTGTGAAAAATGGATTGGAAAAGGTAAAGGGGTTGGAGGTAGAGAGCAGGAAATCCAAACAGGAGATTATTGCAGTAGTTCAGTGAGAGATGATGAGAATCAAGCCAATGCTGGTGACAGCGGCAGTCACCAGAAAGAACAGTCAGTACAGCCTAATGATTAGAAAATGGAGGAAAGAGGAAATAGCTGATGACTATGACTAAGTAAATGACAATAGGGCTTCCCTGGTGGCGCAGTGGTTGAGAGTCTGCCTGCCGATGCAGGGGCCAGGAAGATCCCACGTGCCGCGGAGTGGCTGGGCCCGTGAGCCATGGCTGCCGAGCCTGGGCGTCCGGAGCCTGTGCTCCGCAACGGGAGAGGCCACGACAGTGAGAGGCCCGCGTACCGAAAAAAAAAAAAGAAAGAAAAAGAAAATGACAATAAAACTCATAGAAATGGAGAAGTCTAGAGCAGTTTTTAGGGCATTTAATCTTAATTTGAGGCACATAGGTGCTGAAACCTGTATTGTGTAATGGAAAGAAGTCCAAGGAGAGATGAGGATTTGTGGAAAATTGAAGGATTCCTTGTGGTTGAGGGAAATAGGGAGAAATTGGTCAAAGAGTACAAACATCCAATTAGAAGATGAGTAAGTTCTGGGGATCTAATGTACAGCATTGTGATTATAGATAACAGTACTGTCCTATATAATTGCAAGTTGCTAAGAGAGTAGATCTTAAATGTTCTCACCCCAAAAAAGAATTGGTAATTATGTGAGGTGATGGAGGTGTAAACTAACACTACAGAGGTAATTATATTGCAGTATATATGTATCAGATCAACACACTGTATACCTTAAAGTTACAAAGTGTTATATGTTAATTATATCTCAATAAAGTTGGGGGGAAAATTAAAGCACAGATCTGTTAGAGGATACTTAGATGATGAGTATGGTCTCTGAGGAAGAGTATAGAGCAAGCAGAGCAAAAGTAAGAGAATTGAATCTTGGGATGTATCCATATTTAGGGTGCAAGAGAAATGGATTATAAGGTTAAATAATTCTCATTAATAATTAGGGGAAATACCTTTTTAGTTCTGTCATATTAGTTGATGTGATTTCCTTTGACTCCTCCAAACACATTTTACCTGTAACCACATCACTTTTCATGGATGCCCCTAATCTCTGTCCACAAAACTAGTTATCTCTTTATCATTTTTGAGATGCTAACACTGACTGGCTTGGTATCCTCAGATTCTAAGGTATCCTCAGATTCTAGTTAGAAATAACGGCAAGCCACATATGTTACTTAAAGTTTTCTGATAGCCAAATCAAAAAAAAAGGTAAAAAACATGAAATTAATTTTTAAAATATATTTTGTTTAACTTGATGTATCCAAAATTTATCATTGAAACATGTAAATAACATACAAAATGATATTTTAAATTTCTTTTTGTACCAAGTCTTTGAAATCTGGTGTGTATTTTATACTTGCAGGACATCCCAGTTTGGGCTAACCACATTTCAAGTGCTCAGTAGCCACATGTGACTAGTTTCTGACATATATGACAGTGCAGTTTCTAAGGTGGTAAAGACTGGAACGAGTTGGGCTAGGGAGCTGTTCAGTCTGCTCCATCATAAATTCCCTGAGCATTCATTTCTAAGAGAAAGACATAAATTCAGCAAAAATTAGCAAAATGTCTTTGATTTTCAACTTGTTTTAGGTATACAGGAATAAAGCAAGCTTAGAAAGGGAAGTACCATAATGTGTCAGTGCCTCAGTGCTACTTGAGGAAATCCTTCCTCTTTGCCTGTAGAATACCAGAATCCACTGCTTTAGGCTTAAATTGTGGTTAAATACTTCAGGCTTTTGCCGTAATCTATATAACATCATAATCTTCCCAGAAACATATATAAGCCTCTTAATATCTTAACACTTCCACACCTTCTCAATCACAACAAAACCTTTCAGATCACAATTCTTATGATGAGTGTCAGTAACCCTTATTAAATATACCCTCTGCTTGGACATGTCATTTTTTAACATGGTGCCAAAAACTTGTTGGTAAATTTCCAAAAGCATTAACTTAAATATAAATTAAGAAATAGAGAAGTTTAAATGAATTATATAAGTATCTCATTATCAAGAATTAATGGGGCTTCCCTGGTGGTGCAGTTGTTAAGAATCTGCCCGCCAGTGCAGGGGACACAGATTCGAGCCCTGGTCCGGGAAGATCCCACAGGCCGCAGAGCAACTAAGCCCATGCACCACAACTACTGAGCCCATGCTCCACAACAAGAAGCCAACACAATGAGAAGCCCGCGCACTGCAACGAAGAGTAGCCCCAGCTCGCCTCAACTAGAGAAAGCCCGCGTGCAGCAACAAAGACCCAACATAGCCAAAAATAAAAGTAAACAAAATAAGTAAATTAAAAAAAAAGAATTAATGAAAAATAAGAGTTACTGTAATTTACATTTAATTTTATTTTATGTGTTACATTACTACAGTTTTCAAAATTAACTGAGAATTAGTAAAACATTAAATGTGGGAAATTTTTATCTTACAAAGTAGAATAACAGGTATTTGTGTGAATTGCCTCTGTGTATTTTATTTAGTAATTTAAAATATATGTTTACATTAATTTTGAAAATCATTGCAAGGAACGCATTAATAAATATTTACTGATTATAAATAAATTCTGAATATTTGTATCCTAATGCTGTGACACATTTTTGAAAATTGTAGTAAATCAGGAAGAAACTTACTTATCTAGTTTTGATTGTCAGATGTAATTTAGCAATGGGCCAGTTAGGGCTATTCCTGTGGGTTTTTTGTTTTTGTTTTGTCCAGGCCATGGTGGCATGTGGGATCTTAGTTCTCCAGCCAGGGATCGAACCTTGCCCCATAACAGTGGAAGTGCAGAGTCTTAACCACTGGACCACCAGGGAAGTCCCATTTTCTTGTTTTCATCTTGTTTACTTAGGATTTAAGTAAATAGGAAAAACCAAGTGAGATAATACTTTCAGAAATATTTTCCAGATATGTTTATATAATTAAATATGTTAACCATTTTTAAAAATTAATTAATTTATTTATTTTTGGCTGCGTTGGGTCTTTGCTGCTGTGCGCAGGCTTTTCTCTAGTTGCGTTGAATGGGGGCTACTCTTCATTATGGTGCGCAGGCTTCTCATTGTGGTGGCTGGCTTCTCTTGTTAAGGAGCGCGAGCTTTAGGTGCACTGGCTTCAGTAGTTGTGGCTCATGGGCTCTAGAGCGCAGGCTCAGTAGTTGTGGCTCACGGGCTTTGTTGCTCCACAGCATGTGGGATCTTCCCAGACCAGGGCTCAAACTCGTGTCCCCTGCCATTGGCAGGTGGATTCTTAACCACTGTGCCACCAGGGAAGTCCCTAGCCTTTTTAATAATATTCTTATTCTCAAAGATTAAAAATATATTACAGTTTAAATGTACCATATAGGTTATGTATTAAAGAGAACTGGATTTTTACTTCGAGTTTAACATGTGAATGTGCTTTTTATGTAGCTGAGCAATTCCAGTTGATATTTCCCCAGCCATCTTGGACCTTTTGAGTAGTTATTCTGACTGTTGATTAAAATTCCTAAATAGTTCCCTTTTCCTTTGCAGAGATAAAAGCAACAGTGTTTGATGACTGCAAGAAAGAAGGCGAATGGAAGGTAGAATTTCCATACTCACATAGAATTTGCATGAAGCTAGAAGCCTTTATTGAGGACTTCTATATATTTTACTTATTATACTTCTATAAAAGTATAGGGTCTAGAACTATACTGCTTGTGTTCACATCCTAGCTTTACCTCCTATTAGCTGTGGCTTCTTGAACAAATTACTTGACATCTCTGTGCCTCTGTTTCCTTATCGATAAAATGGGGATGGAAGTACCTCATAGGGTAGTTGTAAATATTAAATGAATTAATCCATGTAAAATGCTTAAAATGGTGCCTAGAAAAATTATAATTCTACAAGTGGCATTTTATAATTTTAAGAAAATTTGATGTTAACATACATTTAAAATGAGCAAGTTCTCTGCTTCAAAATGAAAATATTTCTATTTGCTTACTTCTGTATAATATCATGTGTCCGTATATTGAGGAAATAAATTTCTAGGTCATGCAAGTTAAATGAATTGAGATAATTTTGCCTACTGTCCTAATATTTTAATTTTATGTTATAAAAAGTTTATAAGTTTGAGTAGGTTTAATGCATTAAATTCTGTCTTTTGTGAATTCTTGGCAGTCAAATGCTGATAGTATTCTTAATTTATATTCATTTTAAGATAATGCTTCTAGATGAATTTACCACTAAGCTTTTGGCATCGTGTTGCAAAATGACAGATCTTCTAGCAGAGGGTATAACTGGTAAGTGTTACAAATACTCATCATGAAAAACTTTTCTTATTATGATTGGGAGAGTTTGAAGTATTAATAAATTTTAGTAACTGTGTTTCTCAGGGGGTTATGTTTTATTTTTTTAGTAATTCTAGCCATAATAATTACACTGGACATTCTTTTCTTTGTGAATCTTCAGAATAACCTCTGTAAGTCAGAGTTTTTCCCCTCAGCTGAGACATATAATTAAGCACCCCTAACCAAGACTAAGTTGCCTTATTGAGTTTGTTCTTCAAATTTTTTATTCTTATGTATTTGTTATAGTTTTGTATGCTGATGCACTAGGTTTACTGTAGTATTTTGATGAATGTTTGTGGTTTTCATGTATTGTTTTTAAATGAATAGTAAGATTTATGTCATAAAATCAACTTTTGTACATATTTACAAGTGTATAAGTTTCTCTTTATTACCTAGAAATGAGACTATTAATTGTAAATTTAAATCAGCTTTAGTGTGGGATTATGGAAAAAAAATCACACTACCACAGTTGCTGTCTTCCACTGGGCAGGATTGTGTTAATGAGATTTTAATTTCTCTTACATTTTGGAGAGAATACCAATATCTTATAACATTCATAATCATATCATCATCTATATAACTCATCATCCTTTAACTCATCTATTTAAATTTGCCTTCATAACAGCCCTTTAAAGACAGATATTAATACCCTGATTTGTAAAGTGAAAACTGGGTCTCAAAGTCAAATACAATTCTTTTATATTTTGGATTCTAGTATAATATCTGTATCCTCTGTCACTCCTAACTTGTGAGATTCAAAAGTACACCCAGTATTCAAGAAAGTGTGAGCATTGTGTAGAATGAGAGGATTACCTAAAAAATTTAGCAATGTTTACTTTTTGATATTTATTAATAAAATAATCTTTTATTGTTGATTACATATTCAGTTTGTGGTCTTTATGACCTTCAGTAGAAAATTAAGCTCTGAACTAGAAATTAGAAGATTAAAGCCTTGATTTTTCTACTAACTAGATAAGTGTAATATTGATTAAGCCACTTAAGTTTTGTTACATTCCCAGAGGTTTCTCTGATGTGCAGTTAGAGAACCATTTGATAATATGTGTACAGCACTGTGAAGCTACAGAACCGTTTTGCACTGTAAGGAGGTTTTATTGAATTTTTATAGACCATTGTTTCTTACTGTGTGTTCAGTGTTGATTGGTATTGTGCAAGGAAAGAACTCTGTGGCCACGTTAGTTTGGGAAACAGCATTAACAAAGCTAACCAGTTTTCTTTAGGACTTTTTTGGAGTTTTTTATATGATAGCAGATAATGTGGATCCCCTGTGAATAGGTATAGTATTCAGTTTTCTAAACTTATTTGACCACAGAAGCCTTTTTTGGGAAGTATTATATAGGACTGTATATCATGGAGTGTATTGCTGTGGATTGTTCTCAATATCCTCCAGTCACCTAGGTTTACTCTGATTTAATCATAATCATATCTACTAACTTGAACATGGCACATTTCTTTTGAGTTCCACATCAGCTCATCTGCATTGGCCCTTCAGTGATCAGACTTTCTGTCTGCGTTCAGGTCATTTGTGAAAATATTCAGTGTGTCTTGGAACTTTTAAAAAACATGAGAAAAAAATACACGTGTGATGCTACCTCAGTGTCTCCACTAAAGTCAAGTAAAAACCTTTAAAAAAAATAGACTTGGAATTAGATTATTCCTTTGTCACTATTATAGGAATAATCATAAAAACCTTTCCTTTTTTATCATTTAATAGATATCCACTTTTCAGTGAATTGAAGAAGTGGCACTTTCTGCTATTGATAACCAGACATTTCAGAATCTTTTCAAAGTCTGTGTTCCAAATCATATTACAACATTTTAACTTCCACGTTACTCACCAAACATAATACATAGTATGTACAGCATAAGATGATTGTAAGACACTTTATTTTGGGCACTAAGCAATAAAAGTAAATTAACACAGATTTAACCATAATCTTTTTTTTTTTTTTTTTTTTTTTTTTTTTTGTGGTACGCGGGCCTCTCACTGTTGTGGCCTCTCCCATTGCGGAGCACAGGCTCCGGATGCGCAGACTCCGGATGCGCAGGCCCAGCGGCCATGGCTCACGGGCCCAGCCGCTCCGTGGCATGTGGGATCTTCCTGGACCGGGACACGAACCCATGTCCCCTGCATCGGCAGGTGGACTCCCAACCACTGTGCCACCAGGGAAGCCCTAACCATAATCTTTTAAAGGTGAAATTACAATCGTTGGGAGTGGAGATAAAAATAAAATTAACTATTTCCTCGGAAATCTTATTTGATATCCTCTCTAACAGAAGCTATGATAAACCTGTACTATACTAGTATAAATTTAGGGATGAGAAAATGAATCATCGTATTTAAAAGAGAAGTCCAACAGTAGCCTTCCTTGCATGTCAGATTAATGTTTTAAATTCTTTCTAGGCCCTTTGCCAGCATGAATCTTGAAAGATGGTTCTCTTGATTTGTAGAATGATACTTTAAGTTAGTATTGTTTTAATATAGCCTTCATAGTTAATTTGACAATTTAGGGCTTACTCGTTTTAAATTCACTTTGTTTTATATTATTTTTAAAGTTCTTAATTTCAATAATAAAAATATAATTGATTAAACTATGGTGATACTTCATTGTTGAAAAACTGATTTATATTAATGTGTGGTTTTAAAAGAAAAAGAGTTAATTGGCAATTTATTTAAAGAATGTTATAGCAGTTAAAAACTTAGACTCTAGAGTTGGACAGATGTGGGTTGGAATCCTGTCTCTTCTTTCTTACTGTGTAACTTGGATAAGTTTCTTAACTTTTTTAAGCCTCAGTTACCTCATTTGTAAAATACATAAAGGGTTATTATGAGGTTTAACAGATAATTCATGCTTAGCCTGATTTCTGATATTATATTTTCTATTATTATAGTAGAATATTTTTTTAAAGAAATACATTTTTTTTTTTTGGTACACGGGCCTCTCACTGTTGTGGCCTCTCCTGTTGCGGAGCACAGGCTCTGGACACGCAGGCCCAGCGGCCATGGCTCATGGGCCCAGCCGCACCGCGGCATGTAGGATCTTCCCAGACCAGGGCACGAACCCGTGTCCCCTGCATCGGCAGGCAGACTCTCAACCACTGCGCCACCAGGGAAGCCCAAAGAAATACATATTTTAATTTTAAATGCATTTTCTTGGTTTCTTCATGGCATGTTGATTGCTTTTGCTGGTAGACCTAACTGTCAAATAGCTGCTTTATCTTTTTTTCTCATGATGAGCACTTAGCCCAGAGTTTAGGGAAGACACACTTTCAGGACTTTTTAATTTTTCAAGTGAAGACAAAGAAAATGTTAAGCCCAGGATATACAATTGTGTTTCTATATTATTATAAATGAAGTACAGTGAATTTCATTTAACAATTGTTTCAAGTTTATAAATATTTGGTTATATATAAAATGACTTTTTTTTTTGGTTAGTTGTGGAGAATATTTATAAGAATCGAGAACCTGTCAGACAAATGAAAGCTCTTTATTTTATCTCTCCAACATCAAAGGTGAGTGTTTTGAATCTTTAAAAAGTATGTTCTTCAAAATTTTCACCATTGACATGATTTTCTCTTAGAAAATTCAAAGTAATAAAATGTCCTTTATTAGATGCTTAGGAGAGTCTCCCTGTGTTAGAAGATTGTTTCATTTGCATTCTTCTCAATGAGAATATTTAAGTGAAAGAATTCCTTTCTCCCCATCTATTAAAGCAGAATTTAATTATATAAAATGATAGAGTTTCTTTCAATAATTTGTACCCATGCAGTTTCTATTCAACCATAATTTTTAGGAGGATGGAAATGTATGTAAGAGAAATGGTCTTGGATTAATCTTTCATTTATCTTAGTGACTTCCCTATAGTATACATATATGTATGGGTGTACACACATATATGTATGTATATCTGCATATATGTATGTATATATATATTTTTTATGGGAAAGGAATTTCTTTATAATCTAACCATGATTTAATTCATACTTAAAGCCAAAACTTTAGAGCCATTTAAAGTATCAAATTCCTTTATTCTGTATAATATCTGAGAATGCGTTTTCCAACACATCCTTTGGCTTATTCTTAGAATAAGAATGTTAATTTGACAATTCCAATTTCATTTCTTCTAACTCTAGCAGAGCAGACAGTAGGGAAAAACCCAGACATTTACTGTATGGTCTCTACATATTGGCTGCTGGTGGATTTTAATGACGTTTTATATCTTATCCATAATATAATTTTATAAGATAAAATTCATGATCGGAAAAAATGAAAGAAGCACCATTTTCACCTACTAAATAGGCAGAGGGATTTTAAAAAGTGTGTATATGTAGACATTTATTTATTTATCTATGTATCCTATTCTAGCTGTCAATACCCATTATCAATGGTTAATGGAGTAGAAACTACTATATACTGCTAGTGGGAGTATAGATTAATACAGCCTTTTTGGAAAATAATTTGCCGTATCAAGAACCTTGAAACGTTCTGAATCTTGGAGTTTATTGTAAAAAAAAAAATCAAGGAAATTGTCAAACTAAATTTCAAAAGCAATAAAGATACCCAGATAAATTCTTAGCATTAACGAATACTGGTATGAAATACCATGTGGCCATTGAAAATGAGGTTTCTAGAAATTTTTAATGATCTATATAAATGTTCATTTTTAATGTTAGTGACAAAAGCAGGATACAAAATTATGTATTCAATAAAGAATCAAAGGATGTAAAGAAAATGATACCTGAATGTGACTCCTTTATCTACTACAACCAACTCCAGTTTCTCTTCCTGTCCTGAATCAATTACCTCTTGGGTTCTATAGGCTTCTGGGTGTATGTGAGGCCTTGGGCTCCTTGGGTACTTGTAGAGAAACTTGGTGTGAGATTTCCTTCCTCAGGGGCTGGGTGAGCACGTGGAGACCAGCATCAGCGAGTTCCCAAGCAAGGGTCATAAAATGACAGATTTCAGGAAGAGTTTGTGTATAAGAGATCTGTGAACCCTAGGGGAAAGGTCAGTTGGGTGGATTTTTGCTTTTATACCTATAGCCCTCAGGAGGAGAAACTTCTTTGCCTTCCTCTTCGCCTTCCTCTTCTCATGGAACTGCCTCTATTTAGGATACTCCAACAACTAAACCTAAGCTTCAAGTGAGCTGACAAAGAGAAGCAACCACACATCTAAGTAGGTCAGGTGGCCAGAGAGAGACGGTTTAGTAAGAATGAAAAAAAGGGCACATCTAGCAACATATAGGGGCTTGGAGGGAAGAATGATAACCAGAACAGAAAAATAGTACACTTAAGAAGAGTCTGGTATAGCACATAAACTTTCTGAAGCTCAGAAGTGTATTTTCTCAGTTAAATGGTTAATTGAAGAGGATAATCACTATGGAAATTTGAATTAATAGTCTAAAAGATAAAAATGGAGTATCTCAAAGCAAAAAAACAATCATTGAAATCATGAGGGGAAGGATAAGAGACTTGCAGGATAGATTCATGAACTCTAACAGAAATATACTAGTTCTAGGAGTTGCAGGAGGAGAAAAAGAAACAGATGGATGAGAGAGAATTAAATTGTTTGTTCTTCATTTTTGCTTTCAGGCTACTGTATCTTTAAAACTACCAGCATAGAGGCAAATACTATTAGACTATATTACCTGCTCTCGCTCCTCTGCAGTCTGCCAACCTTTGGCTGTTTCATTCTAATCCCCCTTGACAATTTTAGCTCCTAGCTCACTGTCAGTCTGTTCAGCAGTTCTCCAGTCATAGTCTGGATGGTTTCATTTTCCCTGTAGGTAATACTTTCAGTACGTTCATTGACTTCTCAATTCCTTGATCTGCTATCTTCCAGTGGTCTTGTCTTTTATGTTGCTTCAGCTTCTCAGTCACTTGACCATTCCTAGAGCTCCTCGTCACCAAAACAGCACTCTGTTCATACATTTTACCTTACTACTTACTATGCTTCTAGCTATAACTGGCTAGACAACATAGCATCTTAAAAAATCAGTTTATAAATTAATCTTTTGACAGTTAAGGTTTTACTTTATCATCAAAATAATCTTAGTTATTTCAAAAGATAGCATATTTAAATTAGTATTTGATAAAATGTATATTAACATCTAACCTTTTTTAAGTCTGTAGACTGTTTTTTACGTGATTTCGGAAGTAAATCGGAGAACAAATACAAAGCAGCGTATATCTACTTCACTGACTGTAAGTAGCTTTGTAAAAGTTATTGCTTCATTATTTCAAATCCTATTAATTATGAAGTATTTCTTGTAATGCTATTTTAGTACTAGTGACTTTCTATTTATTGTTTGTTCTAATTAGGTTAGAAGGAATCTAAAAATATAAGATTATTTCTTTGCTAATTCATGGTAAGGTGATAGAAAATTAAATCATTCCAAACTAGTTTCAAAAGATAGTCATTTTTGCTGGTATACAGGGGTGAGGGGGTTGATGGAGAGGGCTGTCCCTCAAATTCTGTGCCAATAACGGGAAGAATTCTTTAAATAAAAGTTTCAACTGGGGATTTGATTATATAATAAAAAAATAAGACCCTTTGGGAGATGCACTGAAGAAACTGCCATCTGTTTGCTAATATTAAGGGAGAAAACCTATCACATTTCTTTTTCTATGCTGTACATTCAAATAAAAAGCAGCTTTCTATATTATTTTTCCTGTAAATTTTTATTTATCTCATACCTAGTAGTAGCTTGCAATTTTTAAAAGGCCATATCATAAGTATTTGTCACTTAAGTAACCTTATTATACAGAAATTCATGTTTATGGAATTGATAAAATTTAATGAGTATGAAGCCTCTTTTAATTTAAGGAATTTTGAGGATAAAGAACAACATGTTAAAAGACAGCAGAAGCCAGTGGTTGATACTGCAACCAAGTTTTAGTGAAACTATATAAGCAGATAGGTAAAAGGGGGGAAAAAACAGGTTCTGAGGTCCAGAACTTACTAGTTTATAGGTTTAGAATTTCCTGACACTAGAGGATATCCTGTAATTCAAGGAAAAATTAAAAATTTGTGTGGTTTGGCTGCACTTAGTGGCAGATTTAGAAAAGTAGTATAAATTCCTAAGAAGTTCTGAAAGTTCTGTGAAAGTTTATTAAGTCCTTAGTTTGGACTTGATTTTCCTTCCTAACAATTTTAGTTTGCTGTGTTAGCAGCTCTCTAAGGAAATATATCTTAGGTTACGGTGGATATGAATGGAGAAAGTGGAATTTCTATTACAGCCCTCATTACAAGAATGCATCTGTTCTATAAAGTGAAAAACAGTATTTACATATTATCTCTGTTCTCATAGTAAATTACTTTGTGAAAGTCAGTAATTATATATAAAAAATAAATATTCTTGGATGTTGGAATGATTTACTCAAAAGAAGGAAAATTTAGATGCAGCTATATGCTTTGATTTTGTTTTTTTTTCCCTCTCAGTTTGCCCTGATAGTCTCTTTAACAAAATTAAGGCTTCTTGCTCCAAGACAATAAGAAGATGTAAAGAAATAAATATTTCCTTCATTCCACTTGAATCTCAGGTACTTTCTATTTTTATTTTTTTAATTTATTTTTTATTAAAACAATTTTGTTTTTGAGCAGAGAAAGGTTTGTTACAAGGGTCAAGCAAGGTGAATGGGCAGCTTGTGCTCAGAAGACCCAAATGCCTTTTATTTTTAAGTTTAGTTTATAATGGATTTTAAAATTCAGTTTTATGAACTTACTTGTTAATAAGGTTTATCCTAAAGATGTTTTATATATTATATATTTGGTGAAGTTTGAACAATCCACAAATAAACATTTCCTCTGATGAAGGGAGAAACATGAATACTAAATTGGAATATAGCGTTAGTAATGAAAGTGGACTTAAATTTCATATCTCCTGCTAAGTCCTGTGTGTGTCAAGGTTTACAGCCCTATCAGATTATGAAACCAAAAGATTTTTAGCATAATGTTTGTTAAATGACTCCAAAGAGATAAATACTTTTAGCTTCTGTAACCATCTGTGATATTAAAACAAAGTTCTTTAGTAAACTTTTTACATAATGTTATATAAACTATTATTTTATAAAATGAAGGATTTTTGTAGATTTGTTTTGCCTTTGGAATAGTTAATGAGCCTTCAATTAATAATTGCAAACACATAGTACTTTCTCTGTGTCACTTTCCTAAATGCTTTACATAAATGTATGCATGTAATCTTCACAATAGCCCTATGAACAGATGATAATTCTATCTACATTTTAAAGATGGGGAAATCAAAGAGGTTAAGTAACTTGCCGTAATCACACAGTTAGTGCATTGTTTAGCTCTGTTCTCTGTGTTTGGATTCCAACATTTCATAGAATTGAAATAGTTTACTGTTGTTTGGAGCTCTAAAGTCAATATTTTAAGAAATAGAATGGTCCTGGATAATGAATTTTTCTTTTAAGCTGTTGCTGGGTTTTGCGGGGGGGGTTTCTTGTGTGTGTGTGTTTTTTTAATATTATTTATTTATTTGGCTGCGTCGGGTCTTGGTTGCGGCACATGGAATCTTTGTTGAGGCACACGTGATCTTTCTTTGCAGTGCCCGGGCTTCTCTCTAGTTGTGGCATGTGGGTTTTTCTCTCTCTAGTTGTGGCATGCGGGTTTTCTCTTCTCTAGTTGTGGCGTGTGGGCTAGTTGCCCCGTGGCATGTGGGATCTTAGTTCCCCGACCAGGGATCAAACCTGCATCCCCTGCATCGGAAGGCAGATTCTTTACAACTGGACCACCAGGGAAGTCCCTAAGCTGTTGCTGTTTTTGACAAAGAAAGACCATAATCAAGTTTGTAAAATTTTAAGATATCTGCTTAACATTAAACTGTTTTCCAAAGGTTACCTTTAGATTTATTCTTTTTAATATGATATGTAAGTTCAGTGTAGAGTGAAAATGGGCATCCTAAAATGATGTGGGATTAAATAGTGGTGTGAAAAATATTACACATGTGTCCAGAGCATCTTGCCGCACAGAAGATAAATATGGTTTTAGCCTCAGAATTCAGTAAATTTCAGTAATTGCTGTATTTGGAGTATATATATTTGTGTATATATCTGACTAATTTGATGGCTGATGGAAATAACTTGTCATTGTGTGTATAGACAAATCTCATGAGACTCTTCTACTTACCAGTCTTTGCAAAATGTTGTGATTATTTAAGGTCCTATCTGTTGGCTATGTTTTTCCCCTAAGAAGTTTTTTCTTTCAATTTAGTTCCTTGATAAATATCTTAAGGGAGTTTACTTAATAAATTTAACTGTTATGGGGAAATTACAGTGAAAATTGTAATTTTCTCAGTTTTGTATTGTGACCTTTTGTTTGTTTGCAAGTGAAGATATAAATGAAATACTGCCAACTGCTTTGAGCTGTAAGCAAAGGCCTATGTGAGCGTTTATCAAGAGCATGTGCAGTGGACATTGTCTTCTAGATGCAAAGAGTATGCTATGAAAAGATGATCAAGATGTGTGCCCCACCCTCATCTGAGAGCTGTGAACGCATCTTCAAAACAATATCAGTTAAGATTAGGTTCAACTGCATATAACAGGACAACTTAAACTTTCAGTGTTTAACCAAGTTGGAAATTTATTTCTTGCTAATATACAAAAAGTCAGGAAGTGGGCTATATAAGGCCGGTATGCTGGCTGTACAAAATTGTCAGGGGCCTGGTCTCTTAGGGATGGCCCTCATGATCCAAGATGTCTGTAGAATTATTACATTCTCATTTGAGGAAGGAGGATGAAGGAGAGAAAGAAGAAAGTACATTTTCATTTATATCTTATTAGCTAAAATTTAGTCACATGGCAATACCCAAGTGCATGGAAAATGGAAATGTAGTCTTTTAGCTGAGCATATGGCTGCTTACCCCAAATAATTGGTATGATTACTGAAAAGTAAGGGAACAATGGTTTTTTAGGAGGCAGCTCATAGTCTGCCAAAAGAGGAGATTAATTCTTACTAGGAAAATGAGAAAACACTTGAAAAATAGAATTTCATAAGGTAGTAATGAAGAGGGAAGAAATATTCTAAGAAGTGAGAATAGCATGAGTGCAAAGATACAGAAGCAGGA